GGACTTCAAGTTCCGATATTCGAAAGTGAAAGATCTGATACACATAGGTACACAAGTTTTCATCCTTAAAGGTGCTATCAAGCTGGTCAGTTTATGCCATGTGGCCTTGTGAACATTTACGGGACACGTGTCTTCTGAACAAAGCAGGCTCCCTTCTGGTTCCGGCTCTTGAAGCCGCACCATGTCGTCCTCCCTCCCTCACCACGTGATTCACATACTGGGCCCAGTGGGTGCGATGGTTCTGAATATGTCAAACCAATTAACAAGAAGATAAGCCATTGACCCTACCGTCTTAACAGTTAACGAAAGGCTAGTATGGGCCTAACTCTTATTATATGTCCAGCTTTTAATAGTTCAGATTCTCAAGCTTAATTTTTAAAATTTTTTCAAATCTTGAGAGCTGACCTTTATATAAAGGGCTCAAGTTCAGGTTTGTATGCTAGATTACAAAAATTAATATTATAATTTAATTAAAATATTTTAAAATTAAACATAAAATAAATCAAAATAATTACTCTATTTGGCAAAAAAAAAATCTTAGTGAGAATTAGAGCACCTATATAAGATAATCAAAAATCAAAGTATCGGATACCTAGCACTCACGGCAAGACAACAACTACAAGTGGAAAGCATATCGTGAGAGGCATGAGGAAGAGCAAACGCAATAAACGTAAGGGGCGACAAGGCAAGCAAATGCGGGAGGGAGAGCCTAATGACTTTGAGTGAGGCAAAGATCAAAGACGAGGGAGGAATGATCGATGGTTAATGGGAAAGTAAAGATGCCGAGTAAGGTAGAGATAAGCAATGGTTGACAGGAGAGTAGATGAGTGACTGTGAAATCTTTAATTTTTGGGTTGACAGAGTGAGAGTCGAGAGATAAAACATTAGAGAAGTTTAAGCCTTAGATTTTTCCTCTACGCACTGTTTTTACATAGATTGCAAAAAAAAAAAGAATAACAGGGCTTGGAGGGCCTCCCGGGCTCGAGCCCGAGCCAACTTTTTCAGGGCTTATCAAGGTCAGGCCTAAAAGCTTGATTACCTTAGAAACCTTCCATTTTTCAAGCCCAAACCCTTATTTAAACAGGACCTACAAGCCCGGCTCTCCAGGCTAGACCCTTATTCCCAACTTTACTGATGATTGTGTATGTTCTTCGTTCCTTTTGAGTTTTGACGAAATATTATCAATTAATTATTGGCTACAATTTCAAGCTTACAAGTACAACATAGAGTATATCACCATCTCAAACGATAGCCTCGGGTTGAGTCATATCAGCAAATTGCAATTTTAACGACATAGTTGCGGAACCACTCACAGAGTCGTCACAGAAAGATTGATTTATTAATATTTTAAAAAATAAAATTGTCAAGTATATTTAATAATATTTATTAATATGTAAAATTTTATTTAAAAATATCTTATAATTTGAACATTATAGTTAAAAAAGTCTTTGTCAATTGGACTTCCAAGTTCCAATAATGGAGAGTGAAAAATCTGATACAGAGATACCTCACTTTTGATCCTGAAAGGTGCTATGAAGTTGGCTTGGCCACTCATTTATGCCATGTGACCTTTTGAAACATTTAGAGGACACATGTCTTCCAATCTGAAAGCTATCAAAGATAAGAGAGAAACTAAAAAAGATTGAAAAATGTCATGTTTATTACTATTGTAATGAGTATAATAAATACAAGGAAGAAGAAATAACTTAATAATAACTATCTATAATAATATCTTATTAAATAATATCTCTCAATAATGGCATAATACATAGTAATGTATCTTTAGAATATTCTAAATAACACCCCCTCAAACTTAAGATGGATTAACAAAGAGTAACTTAAATTTGTCTACCAGAAACTGAAAGTGGCCTGGATGAAAAAACTTTATAAACAAATCTACCAGCTGATACTTGGTTCAAATTTCTAGCTCAAATATGTCTTGAGCTCTTAAAGTCCCGTATCATCATTGCCTGTGATAATCATGTCATCAACATACGATAGCAACAGAGCAATACCATGAGTAGTAGAGCAAACAAAAAGAGTCAAGTTGTGAGGACTACAAGTGAAATCCAATTGACTCATAGTGTTACTAAACTTAGTAAACCATGTACTAAGGGCTTGCTTGAGCCCATATATAGCTTGATAAAGATGATAGACTTTATCTTTTGGATATTGATACTGAGGTAGAGGCTTCATATACTCTTCTTTTTTTAGATTTCCATTTAGAAAAGTATTTTTAACATCCATCTGATAAAGATGCTAGTGTTTAACAGCAACAATAGCTAGAAGGTAGCGAACAAAAGTCATACGGGCAACAGGTGCAGAAGTCTTTTCATAATTGCTACCATACTCTTGAGTGAATCCTTGGGCCACCAAATGGGCCTTACATTACTTTAAAGAGCCATCAGAATGAGTCTTGTTCTTGTAAACCCATCGACCTAACTAGAGTTTTAGCAGGAGGAAGATCAATAAGATTCTAAGCATGCATTTTCTCTTGGGTCTGCAATTCTTTATCTATAGCTTACTGCTAGAAGGGATCACGAGAGGCTTCCTTAAAGGATTTAGGTTCTTGAAACTAGATAATTGTGAAACAACAAGCATAATCATTAAGGTAAGAGGGAGGATTTCTAACACGATTGGGCCTAGATTCTATGGAAAATATGGACTCAGTAGGCGTGACTTGTGCTGGAGGATTGGTAGGTATGATAGTAGGCATATCTAGAGTAGGTGCGGTATCAGTCGTGGAAATGAGCTTAATAAAAGAGTTTGTACTTGAGTCACTGGGGAAAAGGTTAGCAGAAATATATGTAAAAATAAGAGGTGAAGAAGAGGAGAATGATGAGAGATCAGTTAGAAATGAATACTTAGTATTTTCCCAAAAGACAACATGCTGAGAAATGTGATCCCAACAATGATAACCTTTATGCTCAGAATCATAACTAAAGAAACAACAGACATGGGCATGAACTTGAAGTTTATTTATCTCATGAGACGACAAAAGAACATAACAGGCACAAGTAAAGACTTTCAAAATACTATAATCGGAAGGATAACTATGGAGATGCTCAAAAAGAGAAATGTTACCAATGATAGAAGACAAGAGTTGATTGATGTAAAAATAGAGGTTAAGGTTGCTACACCCCAAATGTTTAAGACAAGAAGAGGAAATGAGCAATGCTTTAATAGAATCAAGAATATGACGATGTTTATGCTCAGCACGACCATTCTGTTGAGAAGTGTAAAGAGAAGAATACTGAGAAATAGTACCTTAAGAATAAAGAAACTAAGTAATTTAGAGTCACGATATTCTAAAGCATTATCACGATGAAAAATTTTGATGACTTTATAATACTGAGTGTGAATCATAATAGCAAATTTAATATAAAGTTCATGTAACTCAGATGAATGTTTCATCACATAAATCCAAGCAAAATGAGAAAAATCATTAACAAAAATAACAAAGTATCGGGATCCCCTTATAAAAGGAGCAGGTGCAGGATCCCAAATCTCAGAATGAATCAAATCAAATGGAGAAGCATCAATGGAATCCTTTTTATGAAAAGACAAAGCGGGTTGTTTAGTAATTTGATAAGAAATGCATTGTAAAGACTGATTATGAACATCACATAAAAGACCACTATAAATTAAAGGTCGTAATTTACTCAAAGAAGGGTGACCATGACGATGGTTCCACAAGTCAAGAGAGGAATTAGGAAAAGAGGATATAGAGGCAGCACACAATGTAGGAGCAATGACCTAAGCATTGAGGTTAGCTCAAACATGCAACCAACTTTGCTCCTGATCTATATAACTTGTCTTGTTTTAGAATCCATTGTAACACAACCACGTTTGCTAAATAATACATCATAAACCATATTAACAAGTTGTTCAACAGAGAGAAGGTTAAAGCTAATGACAGAAACAAAATATGTATCATGAATAAATGGGGAAGGTAATGAGACAGTACCAATGTGCCTAACAGGCATTTGAAAATTATCAACAGGGTGTATAGAATAGGCAGTAAAGTTAGGTGTCATAAAGGAAAAGAAATTTGCCTAACCTGTCATATGATTACAACAAGCAGAGTGATTAAAATACCAAATGGATTTACTAGTTAGAGTAGAAAAGGTAGTAGATGGGCTAGAGGAATGGGAAATGAGTGTGCACAGCAAAGCTTTAAGTTCAACCAAGGATCTCAAAGTACACTAAGCCTTAAGTGCAACAGAGGAGGATCCTAAATGAGACTAAGCAGTATTACATTTTTTCAACCAAAGGTGATGATTGCAATCATTCAAAGTAATTGAGATGAGTTGAGCAACCTCTAACTTTGCCATTTTTAAGAAAAAGAACCAGCACCAATAAAAAAAATTCAAATACCACAGAGGGTGTAGTGTGGACGGAATAACTCCCACACTAGTCAACAAATCGACGATCTAACCGTTATGACAGATTGGATGTTATGAACGTGTTGATCAAAGTTTAGCCTAATCTGATGGTTAACGAATTTACAAATTTTGATTTTCTGAGACTGTCCTATGAAGAAGTGAAAATGACTTTTTCTCTTCTTCTCTTACAAGTGGCTGAGTATCAATTTAAATATGATCCTTCTAAACTTAGGATGGAGGATAGAAATACTAAGGAAGATTGTCACTCTTTAAAAACCTACCTTTTGTGAAAAAAATATATTATATAACTCTGATATCATAAAAGCTATTAAAGATAATAAAAAGACAAGAGAAAATTGAAAAATGTCGTATTTATTATTATTGTGATGAGTGCAACAATATATACAAGAAGGATGAAATAACCTAATAATGACTATTTATAATAATATTTTATTAGATGATATCTCTTAATAATGGTATAATAAATAATAATACATATTTAGAATATTTTAGATAACACGAACCGAAGCAAGCTCCCTCTGGTTTCACGTTCTTGAAGCCGCACCATGTCTTTCCTCCCTCCCTCATCATGCGGGGCCCGGTTCGAGCTGTCGTTTTTATTTATATGTGAATCCTCAAGAAGATAAACCATTGACACACCGTTCCAGAGTATCCATCACAGAAGGAAAGCTGCATAGCCAAGTTCAACAGGTAAGTAATGTCTATAGTCTTGTTCCTTTCAACGAATTTCAAACTCAACTAGTCAACTCACAGGTACGCACTACGTAGAGTTATGGCAGCGAACCGCAATTTCAACGACATAGTTGCAGAACCACTTACAGAGTCGTCGCAGAAAGATTGGTTTAAATGGGTAGAGAACTATCTAATATCTCTTGATCTTTGGGGAGTGACGAGTGGTGATGAAAAACCAACCGGAAATCGGGGGGAAGATTTTGCTAGATGGCAGAGAAAGAATGCTGCAGCATTGCACGTCATTCAAATCTCTTGTGGGACTAACAATCACTCTCTTATACGACGTATCAAAAAAGCCAATACTGCATGGAATACTCTCCGTCGTGCCTACAATCCACAGGATCCTCCTCCCAAAGGTCAGTCCTCTGTAGTAAACGCCTTCTCGATCTTTAAACTTCTGCAGATAAGCCCTTGTCATTAGTTAATCATATTGCACTGTACTGTGATAATAATCGATTAACTCTTGAGGTAATAGCTGTTACAAAAAAGCAAGGTGAAGGCAAAGAGAAAATAAGGGAAATGAAGGGGAAATCTTAGCCTTTCATTTTGATCTGGAAATAAAATAATCCTTGCCGTTCATTTTCAATTGATTTTTAGGGAGTACTTTTAAGATTGTATTTATCAAAATAATTTTCTTAAAAAAAATTATAAAAAAATTAATATTAAATTTGAACTATCCGGATATTTAGATATTTAATTTGTAAATATTATAAAAAAATTTAATATTAAATTAAACTGTTCAAATTATATATGTATATACATGTCCAAAGTACTAAATGAACATAGTTAATTAGTAAAAATTATAAAAAAATTTAATATTAAATTAGAGTATCTTGATTAAATTTGTGCTGGTCAAATTGGTGATAAATAGATTTATTAAATTTTTTTTATAATTATTTATTTTGGTAAATAAAAGAATATAAAACTTTAAATCTAGGCATGATAGATCTTATCAGGATAAGCACAAAAGACAGCCAGATTTAGTATTAATTTTCTATAATTTTTATAAATTTTTGTTTTGATAAATACAATATTAAAAATATCTAAAAATTAATTTATAACAGCAGAAATCATTTTGTCGTAAAATAAAAAGTTAGGATCAGCCATTTTGCTGATGAGCGGGCAGAGATGAGCACCAAATGTGAATACGTTTTACAGTATAATATAGCCGTATCATTTGGTTTAGTTTCAACTAAGCTAACTTAACTAACTTGGAAACTAGAACTACCCGCTTTCTTTAGCTGCTTCTGTCAGTAGCCAATCCAACGTCTTCCATATAGAGAGAGAAGGAGGACCGAAGACAGAAAAATTGTCTACCATCTAAAAAGTCATCGCTTTGCTACCCGCGTCCTACTATATGTTACCAGATAAGAACACTAGCAAATAGCTAGAAATGATTGACACAAACATGTTCCAGTATGTTGGGCAAGAGTTTCCTTAATAGGGTCTCAATTATGATGATGAACGTGGGCATATTCATTATTAAGGTATATCATTAAAGACTTCAGAGGAAGTTTTTTTTTTTTTTTTTTTACCAAGACAGGAAATATTGATTTCTCTTTTATTTTCTTTATAAGCTATACCCTCATGCATATTTTATGTCATACATTGAACTGAACATTTCTTATATGTCAAGGGAAAGGTCGTAATAAGCTAGTTAACAGCAAAGGTCCTTCAAAGGGAAAACAACCGAGTTCACAGGACGAAACACAAGAAGAAGCACAAAGTGATGCTGAAGAGACAGGTACTACAATAAAATCGTTAAAGTTCACTATTCAATTTTCTCTATACATGCAGACACATGCACTAATCATTCTCAGTTGATTTCTCCTTATCCTTTCTCTTAATTACACGCATGATCTATCCGTGTATGTGTGTTGTTGATACAAAATTGGTGATTACGTACGTGATGACAGAGCAAGAAGATGGTGAAGTGGATGATTGTTATAAGGCTATATCTGAGGACAACTGGCCTGCTGTAAAAGCATTCACTGATCGCCATCGCAGAGATTGGAAGGTAAAATTTGCTCCGAGAGGCGAAACACCTCTTCACGTGGCTGCAAAGTTTGGTCATTTGGACATAGTAAAGGAGTTGGTGGAATTAGCTGAACCAGATGATCTTGTAATACACGATGCTTCTGGATATACTCCACTTGCAATTGCTGCATCACATTGTGGACTCCTTTCAATTGCAAAATGCTTGGTCAGTAAAAATGAAAAAGTACTTGAAACTTCAAATAAATACCATAAATGGATATTTCCTGTTACATTGGCTTTTCGTTGTGGCTTCAATAAAATGGGACGCTATCTCTATTGCAAGACTCCTTTGGAAGTCTTCAAAGGAGAAAAAGGCATCATGGGTGCTTCGTTTCTCAGACTCTGTTTCATCACTGGAAATCTTGGTAACATTTCTTACAACTACTACTTCAATATAATTTCCATCGACAAGTCATAATAGGTGTTTCATTTTCATTTCTTTCTCTATGTTTCATTATTTTTTGATATTCTATCTCATTCTATATGGTTATGATATACAAATAGATATTGCCTTGCATTTGCTTCAACGAAGCCCAGAACTACTTTTTGCCGCTGACATAAAGAAGCGCTCAACAATTCAGCAGATTGCATGCTACCTTTCTCATTCTCCCAACAAAAGTCAAATTTGGTTCTGGAAGCGATGTGTTTATCACTGTTAGTGCTCATCCTTTCAGCTGATGTTTTTTATCCCAATATTTTCTATACCTTGTTTGTTAATTTTATACGAGCCAAAATTCTGAATATAATTATGCTGACGAGTATATATCTCCCTTTTTGGTATAGAAACCTATCGAATAAAGGTATATATCTCCCTTTTTAATTAGCTAGCACGTTGAGGAGCAGCTCCAATATTAACTATTAGCTACGATTCCTCCTCCATTTTTTTATTCGAAGTACCAAGATGCATATACGACGTTGTAGCTAACCCAAATACCAATAGGCCTTGTTGTATTTCACAAAATCATAATAGGTAATTATAAATTTATTTGCTTGTGCATGATATATTGATATAGTGCACGTATGTCTCTTTGTAAGTAAATAGTCGAAACAATCTCAGAAAGATTGAATAGCTTCACTCAAATTACTTGTTCTTTTAGTTATTTAAGTATTTGAAGAAGCTCATATTTCTCCATTTCTTTGATTATTTCTTGGGTGGAAGGTATCAAAATACCACCAACCACAGCCACTGAGCATGTCAGTGTAGATATTGAACAAGAAAGCGAGATGAGTAACGAAGTTGAAGGTACAATATGTTCCCTGCCAGTTTATTATTTGAAGATGAAATCAGATAATATTACCAATCAAATCTTAGAACATATAGATTAAAAGATGTCACATAGTTCTTTATCACACATGAAAATCAGGTATATATGTCGAAATGTAAACGTTGAAAATGAAATTCTTGTGTGCTCAATTTAAGCATATATAATGAAAAGTCCTTTATATCCATAATTTATATATGTTAAATGCTTTCATACAATATGACACTGTAAATGTATGAAACAAGAAAAATATAGACCTCTGCATATACATACAAAGATACATGTGTCTGTGTGTACGTGACCCTTAAAAAAAGATAAACCTATGGATACATGCATGCCTACATATATCCTCTGCGTGCTTGTGTACGTGATATCCCTTTTCGAATGACTAAGCTAAAAAAATTCCATCTCAATAGGGCTACATCTACTATTACACTTGCTCGTCTCGTACACCAATAAGCTGTCAGGTATGCTTTTATGTATGCCAAAAGGCTTCGTAAAACTTAAGTTGGATTCTGGATTATGCTTATATATATTCGAGTTACCAATTGTCCAGGAATGGAGGGAATACGTAACATGAAGCTTCAACATACACTGACAGATGAAATTCTAAAGCTAGTTTGTGGGAATCTAAAATCCCTGAACAAAGATAAAAAGGGTATGATTGCAGAAGCACTGTTGACAGCGGGTGAAGTGGGGAATGTTGGGTTCTTGCACGAAGTATTAAAAGCCAAACCAGAATTAATCTCGAAGGTCGTTTTTCATCAAAAAAATGGGCAAGTTTTCTTCAATGCAGTGAAATATCGTCAAGCTGAGGTTTTCAACCTCCTCTGTGGGTTTCGGTTTAGGGATGTGGTAGCAACGATGCCAAGTGGCCCCATGAACAACAACTTGCTTCATATGGCAGCCATATTGGCTCCTTCTTCCCAACTTAACCGCATTTCCGGTGCTGCTCTGCAAATGCAATGGGAATTGCAGTGGTTCAAGGTTAGAAGTTAATTAAATTAATTAAATGCTTTTGTAAAGAATGCAAGTGGAAGTATGATTTCGTTGGCCTAGATTGTAACATCTTTCAAATATATAGGCGGTAGAGAAAGTGGTGGAACCTAGACTTTGGCTTCATCCAAACAAAGAAGGGTTGAATCCTCTGGACTATTTTAAAGAAAACCACAAAGAACTAAGGAAGGAAGGAGAGGAATGGATGAAAGAAACAGCAACTTCTTGCTCTGTTGTTGGTGCTCTAATCATCACCATGATGTTTGCTACAGCTTTCACTGTTCCAGGAGGAAATGATGGAACTTCAGGGTACCCAATATTTTTGAACAAAAATTTATTTAGAGTTTTCTTAATCTCTGATGCAGTGTCCTTGTTTGCTTCTACTACTTCTGTGCTGACATTTTTAGGAGTCCTTACATCACGCTATGCAGAAGAAGACTTCCTCTACTCCTTGCCTACCAAATTGGTCATAGGCCTTTCTTCACTTTTTCTCTCCATCGTAACTATGCTAGTCGCCTTTTCTGCAACAATAATCATGATGTTGCAGCATGCCTCATCACATTCATGGGCTTATCTTCTTGTCATTATGTTCGCTAGTGTTCCAGTAATCCTCTTTGTATTTTTACAGTTCCCTCTTCTGATTGAAATAATTTCTTCTACTTATGGTCCTGGCATCTTCAAGAGGAAGGGCAAGAAGTGGCCTTGAATTGTGTGTGTAATATAATTGATGCATCTCATTACTGTATGTTTTTTATATTGAATAAGAAGTTCCCTCTTGAATCTTGATAATGTAATAAGCCAATGGCTTTCATTTTCAGCCTAAAAGGGCATCAGTTTGAGATGTGTGTCTCGACGTGATCGTGCAGATCTTGGGCTCACACAATTTTTGTTTACTCTTGATCGGCCACGTGCGATGCATGCTGACCCAAACTTCAATGTTTTTGATTTTGATTAGAAATTACATTCTAGACACAAGTGCCTATTTCAGTAATTTCTTTTTGATATTTTAATTTCACCTAACGTTACACGAACATATGGAACCGCGCAAGCCAAAAATAATTAAGGAATCGTTCAACCCTGAAAAGAGTGGAGAGTTTTTAAAACATTCCTGGCTCTTCATTTTAATGCGAGTCAATTTGCAATTACGTTGCTTGTTGAATCTTTTTTTTTATTTGTGGCAGCGTTAGACTTGATCAGAGTCCCAAAAAAAAAAAAAAAGATATTGATTCCACTATATGGAACAAAGTCAAAAATTTCATCGCCACTTGCTAGTTATTTGTCGGGACAAATTAAAAGAGCTATAAATGTCTCTCTTCCATTGAGAAAAACAATTAAAATGACTAATTCTCTCTGCTAGAACTATTTAAAGAGAAGGCAACATATTTTCTTGGTCAAATAAAGCACCGACATACACGTTGTGTTGCTAGTTCAGCATCAGGGTCGGAGCCCGCTTCCTGGAATTACACAGATGACAAACGAAGCATAAATATGTAAAAATCGAACCAACATTATATCAATCATATGCCTTCCTTTGTTGCCAGCTGTCCAGTCATCGGTCAATTTTTTTTTTTAAGCCAGAAGTTCCATCAACAGTTTTTTTTTTTTGGAAATCTGGAAGTTCCGTCATTGGCCAAGCAACTAATATAAACCCAACTAGGATGAAAAATCAAACAAAACTTGGGGTGAAATCTATTCCTGTGTTTTAATCTCCCGCCTAGCAATTCCAAGATGTCAACTTCAGCTTATTGATCATGCATGTTCGTTGAGCTTGTCAACCATTAATGCCGCTAAGCCTCTCGAGATGTATTGGTGACTTAGTGAAATTCCTCTTGGTTCTTGCTCATCAAGTCTTGTGTTTGAACCTTGATGGTGCCTAAATGAATATGCTAGAATAGAGAGATAAGAAAAAAAAAATTCCTTCATTAACTTGGAGGTTCATTTACTTCATTTTTAATACAAAATTAAAAAATATCAAAAATATTAAATTGGGTGGTGTAATGTTTTAAATAATAATGTTTAAATTTTTAAATATTAAAATACTTTATATTTTAACAATATTTATTTAATTTTGTTTAACAATATTTCAGAGTGTCTTGCACTCTTAAAAAAAAACTTTAGGGAGCTTAACACTTTTAAAAAAAGAGTTAAATGACAAATTAATATCAAAGGACATGTCACATATTACATGTCATTATGTGTGGGCCTCACACATATGTCATGTCAATAAAAAATGAAAAAATTGACTGTTGATTAAAGGAAGGGAATTTTTTGTTCATTTAAAAAATAATTCAAGAGTAAATTTGCCTTACTTAAGAGTATAGATGTCTAGCACTCTTAAAAAATAAGTACAGGAAAAAAAATTAAATTTTAAGCTTAAATTTTAATAATAACACTTTACAAACTTACTTTTTCAAAACAAAGTTATAAGTTTTTAAAAGTATCCCTCCACACTTTATCCTTACACTGCAATATCATTTTAGTTCTCTCTCTCCACTTGAAAGTAATATTAAAAAAATATTATTAAAAAAACCTTATTTTTATCAAATTGTCTTATGTTTTGGGACAATAAAATATCTTCAAAGTTGTTTTATAATTTGGTATGGGAGGGTATATTCTATAATTTTAGCTTGGTTGATGTAATGATATTGTATAATCTATGTAACTAACCTTACTTAGTGGGCTAAGGCTTGCTATTGCATAGTTTATAATTTCAATTTTTTTTATAAATTTTTAAAATATTCTTTCATTAATAAGAGAGAGAAATAAATATCCTCTTCAATTCTTACTATAAAGCACCTCTAGTTATATCACTTGACCAAAATTAAAAAATGGTGGTTAAGCTATTCACTTTATCAAAAAATAGAATAAACTTTCAATTTTATTTATATTTGAATAAAAAATTTTAAATTTGCATTACATTGTCTCTTAAAGTTAATCCATTGACATAGAGATAATATTAACAAATATAATTAATACTCTATCAAGTATATTACATTAAAGACTAAAAAATTCTTTTAAGATGTGTACTATAATAAGGACCCAAGGAAGTATATGTTTAAGGATTGAAATAACAAAGATTAATATTAGAATAGTCATTGTTAATAAAGCCTTATAATACTACCTCTCAATTTGTAATTCATTTTTTAGGTGATGTGATACCAAAAATATAATATATATATATATATATATATTTTAAAATAAAGCTTCATAATGGTCGTCCCAGTATTATCCTCATTGTTTCACTCTTTTAAATATTTTTTTATTCTCTTGTTAACAAAGACCTAAAAATTGTTTGCCATTTAAAATGACCATTCAGAAGTCATTGATCTGCCCAATTAAAAAGAAAAATAATCGACGAACGTGACCAACTTTAATAATATTGTATGGTTGGTTGGTTACTGTCTGCATGAATAGTAAATTTGTTAATAAAAACTAAAAAGTCCCCATCAGAAGACTTCCGACCCAGTACTGACCAATGTTGGGTTAATGGAAATGCAAATGGATTGATATCTTACATATAATATGATGATCAAAAATTTTAATTCTTATTAAAAAAAGATATTCACATTATTGTTTTAAATAATGAGCACGTACGTGAAAAAATAAGGGTGTCATCTATTGAGAAAAATGGTAAAAAATCGGTTGAGATGGTTTGGGCATGTACAAAGAAGACCAAGGGAGGTACCAGTGAGAAGAGTGAAACATATAACTTTGAGTTTGATTAAGAGAGGTAGAAGAAGGCCTAAGAGAACACTCTTGGAAGTTGTTGAACGCGATCTCTTAATTAATAATATTTCTAAAAGCTTGATAAATGATAGAGCACAATGGCATCTTGCAATCCATGTAGCCGACCCCACCTAATGGGATAAAAGCTTGTTGTTGTTGTTTTTTTTTTTTTTTTCTAATAATAAAGGTACCTGAAATGTAAACGATAAAAAACATTAAAAAAAGACCTCATACTGGACTTCAAGTTTCAATATTCGAAAGTGAAAGATCTGATACACATAGGTACACAAGTTTTGATTCTGAAAGGTGCCATCAAGCTGGTCAGTTTATGCCATGTGGCCTTGTGAACATTTATAGGACACGTGTCTTCTAAACAAAGTAGGCTCCCTCCTGGTACCGGCTCTTGAAGCCGCACCATGTCTTCCTCCCTCCCTCACCACGTGATTCACATACTGGGCCCAGTAGGTGCGATGGTTTTGAATATGTCAAACCAATTAACAAGAAGATAAGCCATTGAAGCTCGATTATCTTATAAACCTTTCATTTTTCAAGTTTAATTTTTTATGTAAGTAAAACTTACAAGCTCGATCTTTCAAAATAAACTTTTATTTCCAACTCTATTGGTGATTGTGTATGTTCTTCATTCCTTTTGAGTTTCGACGATATATTATCAATTAATTGCTAGCTACAATTTCAAGCTCACAGGTACAATGCAGAATATATCACCATCTCAAACGACAATCTCGGGTTAAGTCATGGCAATGAACCACAATTTTAATGACATAGTTGCGGAACCACTCACAAAGTCATTGCAGAAAGATTGGTTTATTAATATTTTAAAAAATAAAATTGTCAATAATATTTAATAATATTTATTAATATTTAAAATTTTATTTAAAAATATCTTATAATTTGAATATTATAGTTAAAAAAATTTTTGTCAATTGGACTTTCAAGTTCCAATAATGGAGAGTGAAAAATCTGATACAGAGATATCCCACTTTTGATACTGAAAGGTGTTGTGAAGTTGTCTTGGCCACTCATTTATGCCATGTGGCCTTTTGAAACATTTATAGGACAGGTGTCTTTCAACCTGAAAGCTATTAAAGATAAAAGAAAAACGAAAAAAGATTGAAAAATGTCATGTTTATTACTATTGTGATGAGTACAATAAATATAAGGAAGAAGAAATAACCCAATAATAATATCTTATCAAATAATCTCTCTCAATAATGGCATAATAAATAGTAATGTATCTTTAGAATATTCTAAATAACACCCCCTCAAACTTAAGATGGATTAATAAAGAGTAACTTGAGTTTGTCTACCAGAAATTGAAAGCAGCCTGGGTGAAAAAAACTTCATAAACAAATCTACTAGCTGATACTTGGTTCAAATTTCTAGCCCAAGTATGTCTTGAGCTCCTGAATTCCCATATCATCATTGCCTGTGATAATCATATCATCAACATACTATAGCAACAGAGCAATACCATAAGTAGTGGAGCAAACAAAAAAAAGTTGAATTGTGAGGACTACAAGTGAAATCTAGTTGAATCATAGTATTACTAAACTTAGTAAATCATGTATTAGGGGCTTGCTTGAACCCATATAGAGCTCGACAAAGATGACATGCCTTGTATTTTGGATGTTGATACCAAGGTGGAGGCTTCTTCTTCTTCTTCTAGATTTCCATGTAGAAAAGCATTTTTAACATCCATCTAATAAAGATGCCAGTGCTTAATAGCAACAATAGTTAGAAGGCAACGAACAAAAGTCATATGGGCAACATGTCATAGCCCAAAATTTGAACATACTCAGCATAGAATATAGGGAGGATAGCCATATCCCAAAACTCTTTACTCAAGAAAACTCTAATTTCTAAACCATGAAGACATTTTATAATAAATTAAACCATCTTCAATACAACTCATATGAACAAAAGATTTAATGTTTTTGTAAAAATTTTGATAGGATCTTCCCTTAAAATAAAATCTCCCCAAAAAAAATCTAAAATATTTTACAAAACAATGGTAGCAGCAAGGAACTCTCCTCCAATCAGCAAATAACAAAGTATAAATAATAAGGATGAAGACCCTAACTATAGCTTATGTGGAGCACCTAACAAAAGAAGTTTACAAATCAAAATACATGGATTTAAATTTACGTTAAAGACATTTCATTACAGCTTTTCATCTTAACTGAATATTACAGCCCCTCAAG